TTTCAGTAGTGTGTGTGAGAGCGTTTCAGTAATAATGTCCCTTACGGCACCTCATAATATAAACCATAGCCTCCCTGACGAAGTCTCAAGAAGAAAATCTTACAGTGCGGATCTGCTTTTCGGGATGGAAAGCTATTAACTTTCTGAAATATATACAGCACAAATCCTTGAACTCTAAGTGTCAAAAATGTCACATACAAAGTTCTTTGAAGTGGGTGCAGCATATATTGTATTTCAAGGATTTAGCAGCGTCTGAAGCACACGCTGATGAGTGGTGATTTGACTTCGAGTTAGACTGTGATGCCAAATTTGGTCAAATCAAAAGAAACCTGCGTATTCCTTATTTAGCTTAGCTTAAGTGTAGAGTCGAGAGTGAAAGAAACAACATGTTTACTGAAATCAGAAAACACCTTTTTCATGTCTCTGTTGTTCGTCAGGTCATCTGACAGACGCATCATTTCCGTTAACTCCAGAAGACGGGGTTTTTGCACCTCAAACTATATCTGAAAGTTAGCAACATACACTAGCTGTGCCACAGAGACATAGCAGCACAGATGATTGGGATAAACCTTTGAAAGGTAAGAAGTTAAAAATAAAGCAAGTGTGTATGCTATCACACGGCTATTTTGCCAAAATCTTAATTACATTTGAATGAAACTGTGTAAACACATAAACAGGTTTTACAGATTTGGATTTTACCTTTAGTAGGAGGTGATACTTCAGCACCCTCTGCATGGGAACTACCAAAAGATCTTGGAGCTTGAACTTTCCTTCTTGCACTTTCATTGTACATTCCTGTGGAAGAGTGACACAAGCAGTGGCACAGTTATTACAAGTTGCATAATACAGCATTGTAGATTTCCTACAAACAAGTATTCATTTGTTGTTTAAGAATACACTGTTGTGTTGCTGCTGTTACTTCCACACATTCGCAGGGCACTCCTTTAGCAATGAGGCCGGTTTATTCTTTCAGGGCACAAAAACTCTGGTTGTGCCAGCTATTTGTGACACAATTACGCAGCATACTGAGAGAGGACATCCTCTGACAAATGAGTGCATATCCCTAAATTCTCCCTCGGCTCCATAAGAAGCGGTCTTTTGTTAGTATTATCCTATAAGGTTCCCTCACAGTGGTGTCTGTGTACATCTTTGTTCACTCAGTTTCTTTAAGTGTGCAATATCAGCAAAGCTTATCCTGTTTTACAAACAGTACTTTTCTATACTGAGCCAATAACAGGCTGACTTAGCCTTTTACTAAGCTCCTTTATTTTGAATGGGGTATCTCAGTTACTACTACCCTGTATAGCTATATGTATTGCCTTTTGTGCTCATCAGCTCTAGGGCCCACTTGTCCTCCCATTCTAACTGCAAATGTGCTTTAATCCCGCTCTATCCTGCATTCCTTTTCTAAGGATTTTCAGTCTGTATAACATCACAAAATCACAGAAGCATACTGAGGGGGAGATCTTGTTGTATACATAGATTCTAAAAATGTCCCAGATTTACACAGTAAAGGTTCCTTTTCTCTTGTTTCATCTTTTCCTGTGCACAAGGAAATTTAATAATACAACCAAGATCCACCACAACCCCTGTTTGGTTAATATTCTGTTTTGTTCAGTATAACAAAATGTTCTGAATTTTTTAAGGCTCTGGGGGCAAATATGCAAATTACATCTGACTTCATTATAGGTTCTGCCTAACAAAGGCAAAGCTTGCCCCCACTGATGAATTCATTTAAGTCATTATTTACTCATTGTCATTGTTTATTCAACAGTAAATTTTACTTTTGAGTTGGGCTTTGATTGAAACGGCCATATTCTAAAGCAGCTTATTTTGTTGGTACAACTCTTCAGAGCATGTACTGCAAGTCTGGATTGATATAAAATTTTAGATTTGACTATACTTTCTAAAAGAAATACTGCATCACTTTTTCCTTTTTCTATAATTGGCACACAATGAATTTAGTAGTGATGCAATACACCGAAATATGTTTCTCTTCTCCTGTGGTGTTTGCACATGGTGCATGGCCAAAACACTAGCTATAATGCCATATCAAAACAGGTGGACAACTATCCAGCTGCTGTAATATAATAATCTATCTCCACACACTGGTGCCAGGAGTCAGCAGGAACATTTAACAATTTGTAAATATAATTTTGCTGGCTATCACACTCTGGAACCCGGTGAGCTTTTTTGACATGGTGCATTATCCTGTGGAAGCAGCCATTAGAAGACAGGCACACTGTGGTCATAAATGGATGGACATGATCAGCAAAATACTCAGGTAGGCTGTGTTTTTTTTAAATGACACTCAGTTGGTACTGTAAGGGGTCCAAAGTGTGCCAAGAAAATGTTCCCCACACCATTAGTCTACCACCACTAGCCTTAGCTGTTGGCACAAACAGGATAAATCCATGCCATCTTCTTTTTGAAGCAAAATTCTGATCCTGTCATTAAAGTGTCACAGCAGAAATCCAGACTCACCAGAGCGGCACATGGTGTGGTCATCTGATTTAAGGTTGGTCACATTTTGGATTCAGAGAAGATGTTGCATACCTTGGTTGTAACATGCTTTTTCAGTTATTGTTGCCTTATTATCAGCTAGAAAACAATCTGGCCATGATCTCTGCCCTCTGGCATGAAGAAGGTATGTTCATCCTGACAAATGCTACTCACAGCATATTTTTACTTTTTTGTGTCATTGTCTGCAAACTTTGGAGATGGATGAGTGGTAAAATCCTAGCAGATCATCAGTTTTTAAAATACTCAGACCAGATAATTTGGTACAAATACCACAACTTCTGAGTACAACATTCATTTTAAACGTGTGTAGAGATGAATGTTACCTCTACTTTAATCCTGACATCTTCCCGTGTGGCTATTAGCTCGTCCAGTTTCTTCTGGGCATTCTCCATGTGGCTGCAGTACTGACCATAGATCAGCAACCTGGGGATGTGAAAAACTAATTAATCCAGTTACTCTGTTACAACTCATCCTCATTAAGGAATCCACAGAAGAAATATGAGGAGACTGTATAAAAATGTTTACAGCTGATACTCTCAAAAGAAACAGTACAAGGACACAAACATTTACAAGTCCCAGAATAATCTTGAATACAACAAAAGCAACTTTTTGAAATGTTAGGCTTTCTTATTAAAGCTATTTTATTTTTAAGATCATGACTACATCCACTCACAAATGTCCCACTGTGGCCTTAGAAATGCTGGAGGTCCAAATAATAAAACATTAATGTTTTTAGGAGACAGTTGAGGTTATAATTTGCATATTTTTGCTCGTCCTCGGTGAGGAAAAGAGCAAGTGGGCTCATAAAACCTTTAATCTCCGTGTAGTGTTTGCAGTCTAGAAATAAGAATTAATAAGGACTAATAAGTCTTGTGTTAACATCTAAAATTACAAGATTTATAATATCTTTGTTAAAACACAGGTCAAAAATGTCTACAATTAGCTGTAAAGTAGAATCTTTTGGTAGTATATGGACCTTCAGGCAACGTATTCATTTTAAGATTATTAATATAATTTGGGAAGTCACGTTAAGAGTAATTTAGCACTAACGGGTACAGATAAATCCATGTGTGAATAAATGTATTATAATTAATGTATTATAATTAAAAATATATTCACATCCAAGGGAAATATTTGAAGGGGCGGCATGCTCTTGCCAATAAGCTATAATCATAGCATACTAATGAAAGTCAGGGCTTTATATCAGTTGGTTTGCAGAGCTCCTCTTATCAGTGTGTGAGGGGAAAACAATCTTTTAATTTTGAGTAGTGAGGATATGAGAGCTGAGTTCATTAGATATTACAATGGGACACTGACATAGATCTACGGGTTCAGCTGGGAGGGAGTTCAAAGTCATCTTGCCTGGAGGATGCCACTGCACGTGGCAAACATTCTTTGCGCTTACTCAGTCAAAGTAGGGCACTGGCACAGGCTGGTATAGTGCAACCCCACCTCCACCCTCACAGCTTGGTAGAGTTGGCACATAGGCCTCTTAATCTGAATCTTAAGCGAGCGGGGCGGTGTAGAGAGCTGGCACCCTGAAGTCTAATCAAGCCTCTGATAGCTTTGAATAACAGGCACTAAAAACAAACCATCCAGGGAACTTTGGTAGTGATGCAATCAGGAAACAAAACTGGTTATGCATAGTGACACATATTATGTATTTATTTTATATTTAACTTAAGGTTAACCATTTCTATTCATGTTTTTTAATCAATAAGGATACAAATATTTGGAATGACAAGTCTGTTTAAACTGTCATTAATGGGTATTTCAAAAATTCTGCATGCAGTGTTCCCAAAACACAAATTTCAAATATTAGAGCAAAAGTCTCTTTTTAAATGATTACCGTAATTGTCGGGCTATAAGCCGCTACTTTTTGCACAA